GTGGGGTCTAAGAAAACCTTACAAAACTAAAAAAGGGCCTGGCTGGGTGGCTCAATTGGTTGGAGCATTGTCCCAATATGCCAAGGTTGTGGGTTTGATCCCCAGTCCAGGCACATATGATAGCCAATGAATGCATAAGTAAGTGGAACAACAGAAATTGATCCTTTTCTCTCTCTCTCTTTCTTTAAAATCAATAAATTTTAAAATCAACATGGCCCGGTTGCTCAGTTGGTTAGAGGGTCATCCTGATACCCCAAGGTTGCAGGTTCAACCTCCAGTCAGGGCACATACAAGAATCAACCAATGGATCCATAAATAAGTAGAACAACAAACTGATGTTTCACTCCCTTTCTCTCCCTAAAGTCAATTTGTATAAAATTAAATTAAAAAAACAGATAAATATAAAGATTTAACTTTGACAAAAGTAGTGAAGCGGAAAGAAATGTTCTGAAGGAAAGTTTCCTAAGAGATCATAGGACTAACAGGTGTAGCTGCAGTGGACAGACACATGTCTGTGCCTAAGTTAGACTTTTCAGCACAACTCATTTGCGTGGATCCCGGCCCACTCTTGTTTTTCTGTACTTCTAATAGTAGATTTTCTTACATTAATTAAAAGACTATACTGTAGACCATTCATTGCCTTCATTTAATGGCATCAAGTCAGTGTCACATTTTTCACAAATCAAACAGCTGTATCTCTCCATCTCTATTGGGACACTATTTTGTTGCTGTATTTGTCAATCTTTGTGCCATTAGGACACTGTCTTCAGTATTAATAATAGTCACAAAATGAGACTTTATTATCTGGTTGTGTAAACCCTCTAAATTTTTTCTTCAGAAATATCTTGTTTAGCCCTGGCTGGTATGGCTCAGTGGATTGAGTGCCGGTCTGTGAAACAAAGGGTTGCTGCTTCGATTCCCCATCAGAACACATGACCGGGTTGCCAAACAGGTCCCTGGTGCAGGGTACGCAAGAGGTAGCCACACATTGCTGTCTCTCTCCCTCTCCCTCCCTTCCCATCTGTTTAAAAATAAATAAGAAAATAAAATTTAAAAGTGTTTTTTAAAAAGAAATATTTTGTTTATTTTTTGGCCTTTTGATATCCATGGCATTTTAGAATCACTATCAATTTTCACACTTAAATTCACACAAATTCTCTGGATTTTCCGTGGAATTTCCTTGAATATATAAATCAATTTGGAAATATATGACATTTTCTATAACTTCCAGCCTTTCAATCAATCCACATACATGGCTTTTCTTTCCATATATTAATTTTTTAAAGATTATATTTCTTTTTAGAGAGAGGGAAACATTGATGTACTAGAGAAACATTGATTGTTTGCCTCTTACATGACCCCAACCAGGGACCTGGCCCAAAACCCAGGGATGTGCTCTGACAGGGAATTGAACTGGTAACTTTTTAGTTTCCAGGCCAACACCAACCCACTGAGCCACACCAGTTAGGGCATATATTAATAATTTGTATTATCAGTATAGACACCTTACATATCTTTCTTTAATTTTTTTTATTTATTGTCCTGGCTGGTGTGTCTCAGATGAAGTGTTGTACCATAGACCAAAAGGTTGTGTGCTTGATTCCCAGTCAGGCACATACGCAGGTTTTGGGTTTGATCCCCAGTTGGGGCACAAATAAGACGGCAACCAATGTCTCTCTCTCTCTCTCTCTCTCTCCCCACCACTAAAACCAATGAGAAAATGTCTTTGGGTGAGGATAAAATAAATGAATAAAATATAATTTTTAAAAAATTTATTTTAGAGGAAGCAGGGAGAGAGAGAAATATCGATTTGTTGTTCTATACATTTATGCATTCATTGGATGCTTCTTTCATGTGCCCTGACAAGGGATCAAACTTTCAACCTTGGTATATTAGGACAACATTCTAACCAACTGAGCTTCTTGGCCAGAGCTTGCATATCTTTTATTAGATTTGTTTGTAGATATGTGGTGTTGGTAAAGGAAGTGATACAATTTTTGCTTTAATTTTATCTGCTTGTCTTATTACAGAAATTGATTTTGGCATCTTGAACTGTATCAGGCACCTTGCTATATTCTCCTAGTCTAGTATTTGTAAAATATTTTGTATTTTTCCTTCAGACAAAATTAGGCCATCTATAAATAATAGTTGACATGTTTTCTGATTTTATTTCCCTGGTTTAGGTACCAGAAAAATGTTGTGTACATTGATAATGGGCTTCCCTCTTTGAGTCTCGAGGACAAAACATATAAGAATAATTTTTTTCTGTACTTTGTTTCTAGTATACTAAATGTTTTTCTCAGCATTGCATAGTGATTTTCTTGAGCATATCTAATATATCTGCTAAGATACATTATGTTTGTTCCCTTCCAAGGGTAATTCATACTGCTTTTTGAAATTTAACCCAACTTGCATGTAGAAGATAAAAGCTGTCTATTCATGAGGTGTTTTCCTTATGTATGACTGGGTTTGATTTTCAGATATTTAGTTTAGAATTTTTGTGTCTATGCTGGTGAGAATTATTGGCCACTATTGTTCCTTTCCATAATGCACTTGTAAGGTTTTGTTATCAGGAAGGCTGATTAATTAATTCCATTAATTAAAAGAGGATTATCTCTTCTCTTAGAGAATTCTGGTAAGAATTAATGTTATTTCTTTCTTAAGTATCTTTCAAAATTCACAAATAAAATACCATATTTTGCCTCGTATAATGTGCACCCACATTTTTGTGTGCATTATACATGAGATTATTATACCTATGGTATGTAATCATTATATCCATGTATAATGAGCATCCTTATTTTTCCCTAAAAAAAATGGACAAAACAGTATGCATGATACACAGCAAAATATGGTAATCTGAGCCTGAAATTTATCTTTTTAAAAATATATTTTATTAATTATGCTATTATAGTTCTCCCATTCCCCCCCTTCACTCCCCTCCACCCTGCATACCCTCTCCCACCTACATTCCCCGCCTTTAGTTCATGTCCATGTGTCATACTTATAAGCTCTTTAGCTTCTACATTTTCCATACTATTTTTGCCCTCTCCCTGTCTATTTTCTACCTGCCATCTATGCTACTTATTATCTATACCTTTCCCCCTCTCTCTCCCTCCCACTCCCCTGTTGCTAACCCTCCAGGTGATCTCCATTTCTGTGGTTCTGTTCCTGTTCTACTTGTTTGCTTAGTTTGTTTTTGTTTTTGTTCTAGGTGTGGTTGTTAATAATTGTGAATTTGCTATCATTTTACTATACATGTTTTTTATCTTCTTTTTCTTAGATAAGTCCCTTTAATATTTCATATAATAGGGGCTTGGTGATGATGAACTCCTTTAACTTGACCTTATCTGGGAAGCCCTTTATCTGCCCTTCCATTCTAAATGAAAGCTTTGCTGGATAGAGCAATCTTGGATGCAGGTCCTTGCCTTTCATGACTTGGAATACTTCTTTCCAGCCCCTTCTTGCCTGTAAGGTCTCTTTTGAGAAATCAGCTGACAGTCTGATGGGAACTTCTTTGTAGGTGACTGTTCCCTTATCTCTTGCTGCTTCTAGGATTCTCTCCTTCATTTGTACCTTGGGTAATGTAATTATGATGTACCCTGGTGTGTTCCTCCTGGGGTCCAACTTCTTTGAGCTTCCTGGTACTCTCTGAGCTTCTAGACTTCCTCGAAGTCTATTTCCTTTGCCAGATTGGGGAAGTTCTCCTTTATTATTTGTTCAAATAAGTTTTCCACCTGTTACCCTTCCTCTTTTCCTTCTGGTACCCCTATAATTTGGATGTTGGAATGTTTAAAGATGTCCTGGAGGTTCTTAAGCCTCTCCTCATTTTTTTGAATTCTTATTTCTTTATTCTTTTCTGTTTGGTTGTTTCTTTCTTCCTTCTGGTCCACTCCACTGATTTGAGTCCCAGTTTTCTTCCCATCACTATTGGCTCCCTGTACATTTTCCTTTATTCCACTTAGCATAGCCTTCATTTTTTTCATCTAATTTGTGACCAAATTCAACCAATCCTGTGAGCATCCTGATCACCAGTGCTTTGAACTGTGCATCTGATAGGTTGGCGATCTCTTCTTCACTTAGCTATATTTTTTTCTGGAGCTTTGATCTGTTCTTTTGTTTGGGACATTTTTTTTTTATCGTCGCACCTGTTATGTATGAGGGGCAGAACCTTAGGTGTTCACCAGGACGGGGCAACCCCGTCGCTGTGTTGTGATGCTGTAAGTGGGGCAAGGGTCCAAGAGGGAAAAATGGCGCTTGCTCCACTCTCTGTAGGATTTCAGTCACTTCTGCTGCTTCCCACAAGCAAACTGGGCCTTTCTGGTGCTCAATCCCAGGTGGGTGGACTTGTATATGTTTTAGAACCCTGTGGGTCTGAGAGTCTCTCCTGGTGCCTCAACACCCCACAGGTGTTTTCAATTGGCATTTTGAGGTTTTATTTCCTGGTGCTTGGACCCTGGGTTGCTTGGTCTGTCTCACTTCCCAGTTTCTCCTGGTTTATCTGTGTGCAAATGTGGGACCACCTGGTCCGCCAGCCACCCTGCCCACCAAGCCCCTCCACAGTCCGCCCGCTGCCGCCTTGTGTGCCTGGGGTCCACCAGCTGCTGCTTTGTTTTTTTCTCTTTTTTTGCCGTGACCCCTCTCCTCATGGCTGCCCGACCCCATCCCTCCTATCGGTCTAGATGAATGTGTCTACTTTAACTCCTTGGTTGTCGGACTTCCATACAGTTCAATTTTCTGTCAGTACTGGTTGTTTTTTGTTTCTAAATTTTTGATGTCCTCATTTTGGTTATTTGAGGAGGCACAGTGTCTCTACCTATGCCTCCATCTTGACCAACTGAAATTTATTTATTTTTTAAGTATGCCAGTGACAGAATTTAATACATGTCTCTCATCTCTCTTTTATTTCTAGCTCACAGTTTTTTAAGCATCCAGCACTATCAACACAGGTGTTCAAGAACAGAATCCTGAAAGTTGAGTCTCTGAGAAATATTGTAAGAATGGATTTAGATCTCAGGACTTCATTTCTCTGTGAACCATGTGGGGATGACTATAGGTCAGAAAATGTGGTCTTTACCCCCAGCCAAAGACCTGCTCTCCAAAAGGCAGACGGGGGCCCTGGGTTCCAGAACACTCAGCTCAGCTCATTTCAGAACAGCAATAAAATGTGTGCAAGGCAGGAACTGCAAAGAATTTATAAGTCATTTCACTCATGGCTGCAACCAGAAAAACACAGCAAGGATGAAATTATTTTTCAAGTGGTCCTGGAACAATTTATGATCAATAGGCATTGTAGTGACAGATCCATGTTGAAGGAGAAATGGGAAACAAGTGGCAAAAACCTGGAGTCATTCATGGAATGTCTGAGTGATGATTGCATGAAGTCTCCTGGCTTGGTGAGTAGAGGGTTCTGACCCTGGGGAGAGGGGCAGAAGGGACAGAGAATAATTTCAATCTGTTCGGGATGCCCAAAGTAGAGAAAGAGTTACTATAGACTCAGTTATTAGTCCTTACTAGGGGAATCTACCATCCTAAGTAAGCAAGAATAAAGAAGTTTTCTAGGCATTAATTCAGTGGGACATAGAAAAGCCAACATTAATTTATGGTGGTTTTCATGGTGAGGTGGTAGGAGGACTTGCTAAGAGACTGTCAGTTAAGCAGAAACTCAAGGATGAGAAGAAATGCCTGAACATGAGCTGGTTTTTCCCTCAGAAAACCTTGGTCTTTTTTCATTAGGAATGAAGAAATCAGAATGAAATATAATGCAAGTAGAGCTATGGGCAGAACAAAGAGGAGTAGGAGCCTGCAGTATAGAGATTTAGGAAGACTGACTGGGTAGGTTTCCCACACAGTAGGCCTTTCTTTTTTCTTTTCTTTTTTTTTTTAACAGGTACACGTCCACATGCAGGGACAGGAAGCCCTCTTTTCTGAGAATATGCCCTTAAGAGAAGTCATTGTTCATTTAACAAAACAGTTGGCAGCAAGAACCCCAACAGTGGCAAACATGGGGACACCCTTCTGGACTTCCCACAATGCTTCTCTGCAAACAGGACAAGGTGAGTAAGGGGGACCCAGGGACCAGAGGGATTTACCATGTAAACTCTTTCTTGGGTACAGATTTGCTCAGTCACTTCTTTATACTCACAGGAGATGAGGATAAAGAAAATGGTGGCAACATTTTGAAAACTACTGAAGTAAATGACAATATTACTGGTCAAGGCTATCAAACACCACCCCTGCTCATTATCCAGGAAGAGAACTATTTTGGGCCTGGAGGGGGAGATGTTTCTTTAGAGAATTCACTCAGCTACAGAAGAGTAAGTCTAAGCCCCTCTAGGTCCCAGGAAGGGTCCCCAAAAGGACCTTGTAATCAAGATGTCCTCATGGAGGTGAGACCGGCATTCCTCTCCAGGCTGCACCAGGTCACCCCTGAGCCTGATCCTACCCATCAGAACAATGCTGGAAGCTCTAGACGTGGGAGACGCCAAAGAAGATTCCACAGAGCCCGAAGATCATACCAATGTGACAAGTGTTCCCAGATCTTTAGGCATTTCTCTCAGTTAAGAGTCCATCAGAGAAGACACAATAACGAGAGGACATTTATTTGTGCCGTGTGTAACAAAGGCTTTGTCCAAGCCTCAGACCTAAAAGTGCATCAGAAGATTCATGCAGAAGAGAAGCCTTTCAGGTGCAGTACCTGTGGTAGGCCCTTCAGCCACAGAACCAACCTTCTGGCTCATGAGAGAATCCACACGGGAGAGAAGCCCTATGTGTGTTCTGTGTGCCAGAGATGCTTCCGCCAGTCATCCACCTACCACCGCCACCTGAGGATGCACCAGAGAAATGCCTTCAGACGTGTTTCCTCCACATTTGAAGCTTCCTCTGGGTAATGCATATGAATATGTCTATGAGTATGCATATTTCCATAGTACTTCTCTATTTAGAACATACTTTGTAACTTCTCGATCATATATTCCATTCATTTTCTCCCCCTCTAAAATGTAAGTTTAAGGAGGGCAGGGAATTTCTCTTTTGTTCAGCAAAGTGCCTCAGGTGCCTACAAAGTGGTTGACACATTTTAAATGACCAATAAATACCTGTTGAGTGAATGAAAGTATAATGTTTGTGTTGTTTACTTTTTAAAATCTAGGAAGGTGTCCCATGTGAAAAGACAGTGAGCTCCAATGCCAGGGCACGAACTCTACCTGCTACCTAGTCCTCTGTCCACACCCTTTATTTTCATGGATCCACAGGCACCTAAAACCATGGGGAGGGGAGGTGGGAACTTGGGGATAGGCCTTGGCCCATGAAAAGGAATCAGTATATTCAAATGATATAATAATTTCTTTAATCCATTGGAAATATCAGTAGCTAAATGCGACATGAATATGACTGGTGACTGAAAGTTGCAGAACGCCATTTTATGAACAGATACCATAAAAGTGCAATATTATCCATCCATATGTTGCAAAGATGACAGGTGTGGTGGGGGGCAGTGAAGGAGCTTATTTGTCCAACTAGTTTGAAAAGGCAGTTTAGAGAAAAAAATTATTCTGTGCAGCACAGAGGCAAAAGCACATGTGCTGGTTATTCGGAATCCATTTGTGAACTGGCGTCCACTAGGAACTGGGGCTCCGTCCCGCTGAGAAACTGAAAGGCGCCATGAAGGAATGGCTTGAATCATGGAAGAGAGCAATGTGCCAGGTAAATTGTGACATTTCCCTATTTTCCTCTCTGCATTCATAGAAGGGAGGACTATTGGGTTGCAGATAAGGCTCCACTGTGTGGAGAGGTTGCCTGCCTTCTGGGGCTGTATCCAAGAGTTTTATTCTATTTTTTTATATTTTTATGAAATTTATTGAGATTGTATTGGTTAATAAAATTATATAGGTTTCAGGTGTACAATTATACATATAATACATCACCTACATATTGTATTTTGTGTGAAAAACCCAAAGTAAGTCTTTTTCCATAACCATTTATTCCCCCTTTACCCTCTACTACCCCCTAACCCCCTTTACCTCTGGTAATTATACTGTTCTCTGTGTTAATAAGATTTTTTTTTTTTGCTTAATCCTTTCATCCTTTTCGCCCAGCCCTCCCAACCCCCTGCTCTCTGACAGTTCTCAATCTGTTCTCTGTATCTATTATTCTGTTTCTATCTTGTTTGTTTTCTTCAATAGATTCCACATATGAGTGAAATCATATAATACTTTTCTTTCTCTGACTGGGCTTATTTCATTTAGAATAAAACTCCAGATCCATCTATGCTGTCTCAAAATATAACATGTCCTTATTTTTTATGGCATAGTAGTATTCCATTGTATAAGTGTACCACTGCTTTTTTATCTTTATTGATTTTGGAGGGAGAGGAAGGAAGAGGGAGAAGCATTGATCAGTTGCTTCCTATACCCACCCTCAACAAGGACTGAACATATAACCTAGGTATGTGCCCTGACTGGGAATCAAACTCCCAGCCTTTCAATGTAAGTAACTTCACCACAACCAACTGAGCCACGCTGGCCAGGGTGTCCACTGCTTTTTGATCCACTCATCTACTGAGGAGCCCTTGGGCTACTTGTAAATCTTGGCTATTGTAAAGAATACTGCAATGAACATAGGGATGCATATATTTTTTTAAATTAGTGTTTCAAGTTTCTCCAAATATATTCCAGAAGTGGAGTCACTGGGTCATAAGGCAGTTGCATTTTTAATTTTTTTAGGTAATTCCATACTGCTTTCCACAGTGGCTACACCAGTCTGCATTCCCATTAACAGTGCATAATGGTTCCCTTTTCTCCACATCCTTGCCAGCACTTGTTTGTTGATTGATTGATGATAGCCATTCTGACACATGTGAGGTGATATCTCATTGTGGTTTAATTTGCATTACTGACTGGACATTTTTTCAGATGTGTGTTGGTCTACCATATTTCTAAAATTAATATAAATTAAATATAAATATAACTTAAAGAATCAAATACAAATTCAATATAAATATATATTTTTAAAAGAATCACAGTGTCACAGGATACCAGTGTCACAGGTTCGATTCCCAGTCAGGGTACATGCCTGGGTTGCAGGCCATGACCCCCACCAACCGCACGCACATTGATGTTGCTCTCTGTCTTTCTCCCTCCATTCCCTCTCTAAAACTAAATAAATAGAATCTTTAAAAAAAAAAAAAGAGTGGTTGAGAACCTTAAAAAAATCACAATACCAAGATTAGGCTCAGTCTAACTCACACTTCAGTGTCTCTTGATAAACATTATCTGAAATCTTAACTCTTTTCCCCATCCACTGAGGTGTCCTCAGAGCAGTTCATACCACTGTCATTGAATAACTACATAATCATTATTAATAGCTCTCTGTAAATCATATTTCAAAGATGTTTTTATTAATCCTCACCCAGGAATATGTTTATATGGGGTCTGGCAGAAGTAATGCCATTGAGTGTGGTTGGTAGGGTACATAAATGTCTCACACAGAATAGACAGCAATTTGAACATTTCACCTAAAATTTCATGTGGTGCTTGAGTGTGATATTGTTGTGTTATTGAATTACATGCTTATGATTTTGTAATAAAAGATTTTTATGTAATAAAAAGGGTGTTATTCATGCCAGACCCTGTAGATTTTAGAAAGAAAGGAGAGGGGGAGAGAGAATGGGAAAAGAAGAGAGAGACAGAGAAACATGGATTGGTTGCCTCCCTTACCCACCTAGTTGGGGATCTAAGCCCAACCCAGGAAATGTGCCCTGAATGGGAATCCAACCCACAATAATTGTGGTGCACAGGACTATGCACCACAGGACTGTGCACAGTCCTGTGCACAGGACTATGATCCATCCAACTAAGCAACCTGTCCAGAGCTCACATTTTTTCTGATGTATCAATTCCATCCTTGACACTTTGCTGACTTGTCACTTCATCTGTAACTCCCCAGCTCCTGGCCACCTACACGTTTGTGGCCTGCCTGTATCACCTGTTTCTCTGCACGGCTCCCTCTGCAGTATTCTCCGCCATTGACCTATGCATGGGTTAATGAGGTGTGCATACATCCTTAAGTAGTCCTCGAATACCAGCTACTCATTTATTGAATTTTACTGGGCAAAGGACATGACTAACCTCCAGCACATCTTGCCCATGTCACCAGCAGACAAGCCCTGCTGAACACTGTTAGCAGAACATGAATTGGAGATCCTGCTTTTCCGTGTGACGCTTACCATCTTCATGTCCTTTTTCTGGTGAGGTCTCCCCTACTTTGTGATCTTAGAGGTTCAACTGCACAGCAGCACCTTATTCAACCTGCCTCCAAGTCTCTTACTTTCAGCCAATCCCATGGAACTGACATAGTATGCCTGACACACCTTTGTAATGGGACTTCCTTACCCCAACCAAAATCCATACCCATTTCCTAAGCATTTGTCTGCTTTCAGGTTGTTGACATAAACTGGAAGATGAGGAGGCCCCTTCTGAACAGAGTGTATCTGTAGAAGGAGAGTCACAGGTCCATTCTTCTAAAATAGCTCCAATAACCCTGAAGACCCATCCCTGTGAGCAGTGTATCTCAGTCTTGAACGGTATTTTGCACCTGACTGAGTTCCAAGCAGCATACCTTGAGCAGAAAACATTCTTCAGTGACACATGTGTGAGTCATGTCAGTGCAAACCATCACCAGCAACAGAGGCCTGCCAGTGGAGAGAGAAGGTCATATGGACAGGGCCTCATTTGTGACCAGATGTAGCTTGTATGTATCATGACAACCTTTTATCTGTAGGGAGGTTTGGGAAGATGTTCCAGCCACATCAGGCCTTCTTGAGGCCACTCCTAACACTGAGAAGCCACCCGATGGCTGGGAATGGGCAGGCCTTTCACAGAAAAGGTTATCACCAGTGGGATGAATGTGAAAAAGGTTCCAGCCACAACCAGAAACTCGTTCAACATGAAGGTGTCTGCTCTGGAGAAAGGCTTAATGAGTCTAGCGAATGTGGGAAAGTTTTTAGACCAATCTGTATCATCATTTGACACAGGACAGTTCATAGTAGAGCAGTGCCCTAAGAGACTAGGGATCATGGCAAGTCCTTCAACACAAACTCTGTCCTCATTCAATACAAAAGAAGTCACACTGCAGAAAGGCCACATGAGTGTAATAAATGTGGGAAATCCTTTAGACAATGCTGGCACCTTATTCAATACCTTTGCGTTCTTTCTGGAGAAAAGCCTTATGCATATGGTGAATGTGGGGAATCCTTTAGCTATACCCTCATTCTACACCCAAGTGTTCATACTGGAGAAAAGCCATACGAATGTGGGAAGTCCTTTAGACGATGTTCTCGCCATATTGAATATTGTTGAGTACATCTTCTTGGAAAGCCTATAGCCAATCCTCTAGCCCACAGGTGGCAAACACAAGGCTTCCAGGCTGAATTAGCCCTCTACCTTGTTTTATCAGCCTGGCACCTTGTTTCTACTTGGTGGCAGCACAGAGCTCTCGCTTAACTGTTAAGGAGTAGTTACATTTACACAGTCCTAAAATTACATTCAGCCCTTTGAAGGCAACCTCGAGGCTGATGTGGCCCCTGGTGAAAATGAGTTTGACACCCCTGCTCTAGCCTCCTTCAACACTGGAGAGTGCACACTGGAAAAAGACCTTTAGAGTGTAGTGTAGTGTAGTGGGTCACCTTTTAGCCTCAAATCTTACCTTCTTCGACACCAGATAGTTCACATAGGAGAAAAGCCTTAAATGTGCTGGGAATGTTATTTTCTAACACACTATCACATTACTGGAAATTAAACATTTCTTAGTGGAACATACACTGTGCTACATTCTTTATGTGTTAGATGCAAGAGGCTTTAAGGAGCTGCATTGCCTTTTCTAACCTGCCCAG